AGATGGATTTAGGGCTCCCCATTCTTTCAACACGAAGAGTTGTCTTCTCCCCCGGGGCTGCTCCAGGTACGCCTGCCCCGTTCACATCAGGTCCCTCCGTCAAGGGCGAAGCTCGGAGTCTAGGGAGGAGAAAAGTGGCCCGTGTGTAACTCCACCCAAACTCGCCCGTTTCCCAGGTGAGCGGACACCCCCACCCCTGTTTTGGATCCTGAGTCTGGCTGCCTACGGCCTGTGGTCCCTGGATCCCCCCGAAGTTCCTCCACCCTCTCTGTCCTCTCTGTCGGCAGCCGGCCAGGGGGTGGAGGTCGGGGGCTGGCCCACTGTGGCACATCTGATTCTACGGCAAAAGTCCGGGTGCAGGGTGCCTTAGCCAGCTCAGGCCGTCGTAACAGACGCTGGAGGCTGAGAGGCTTCGAGGACAGAAATTGGCCCCTCACAGTTCTGGAGGCGAGAAGTCTGGGATCGAGGCGGCAGTGTGCTGGGGTTCCGCCGAGGACCCTCTCCCCTTGCACTGGGCCTTCCTGGGTGGAGAGGAAGAGGGATCTGCAGTCTCTCCCCTCCCGTAGGGGCACAATTTCCACGCTGAGGGCCTCACCCCATAACCTCCTCCGGCTCCCATTAGCCTCCCAAAGGCGTCACCGGCCACCACACTGGGAGTTGGGGCGTCAGCACATGGACTTGGGGGAGACACACACTGAGTTGGCAGGAGGCAGGTGTGCTTGCTGCGTGTGGCCCGACTGTGCTCCGCCGGGTCGCGGTCTCCCGCCCAGAGGCCGGCTTGTTCTCCTCTGCTGTTTGCCACCACGGAAACCTGACACGTGGCCGGCTCCCCGCTCCTGGGTGGCCCGCACCGTCGGCGTTCGTCTGCGGAGTTAGTCGCAAGGACTGGTGAGCTGTTCCACGGAGGCCTTGCTCCATCCGGCTAAAGCACAGAGGAGGAAGGTTGGTCTGGGCGGAGCAGGGAGCCGCCAGGGGTGGGTGTCGGGTCCTCACACTGCTCCTGTGCTGCGTGAGCGCAGACTTGCTTTCTTCCTGGGACTGGGAGCTGACGGTTCTTAGTTACGTGCCTTTGTGTGCAAATCCCTTCTGTGGGAAAAGACCAAGAGAACAACAGCAGCCTCCTCTCTGCAGGCTCTGGCTGGGGGCAGCCGCTTGTGCTGGGGGCTGGGAGGTGGCTGTGACCAGGTCACTTGGAGGGGATGGAGGGGCACAGGCAGGGGCTGGGGGCTGCACTGGCCCCGAGGGAAGGAGGAAGAAATGCAGGGTGCCCCAAGGGCACCTGCCATCCCGCTGGGCCTGCTGCTTTGGTCTGGAGACTGAGCTTTGAGATGCCTCCGGCTAGTTGGATGAGACAGTTTAGGTGAGAACCTGGAGCGGGCGGGCGGGGGGGGGATGCAGTTGGAGGTGACAGTCGGGAAGGAAGCGTGACCTGCATAGCATCTTCCAGGCCTCCAGCGGGGACTGGGGGGGCTGCTGAACGTGGGCAGTGTGGCCAGGACAGATCCCTGCAGGCAGGGGCGGGGTCTGAGCAGACCCCCATTCAGCCCACCGCCCGGCTTGCCCTGCGGATTCCCGGCAGCTGCCCAGCCCTGCGGGGGTGCTTTTCGCTCTGTGAACAAGCAGGGTGGACGCCTGGCGCCTGGGTCCCCTCCTGCTCCCAATTCAGGCAGCCCCGGGTTGTCAGAGGCCAGCCGCTTCCCTGGAAGGGGACTTGGTGACTTCCCTCCAAGGGCCCTGCTAAGACTCAGCCGCTGGGAAGGACGCTTTCGCCACCTGGTGCCAAAGTGTGGCAATGACTTTGGCTGCCCCTCCCCAGGGCCAGGCAGAGGCTCTTCCCGTGGGCGGTGGGCGGGTGGTTTGTGCAGCAACTCCATTCTGACCTGAGGTCACGGGGCACATGACAGGTGAGGGGTCAAATGTGCAAACGAAGCCCAAATGCACTCGCACGAGCAGGTCTGCCGGTCCGAGCAGCTCCCTGGTGTGGAAGGGCTTGGTCCCCAACACTGCCAGCGTCTCGGTGTCTTTGGAGTTTCCCAGTCTTTGAGGCCTTGGTGTCCCCAGTTGATGTCCGAGGCACTTGGTTTAATCAATATCCATTTGTGTAGGTCTCATGTTGCATTTCGGAATTGTTTCCCCTGTAAATCATATTGCCTGTTCTTGCTTAATTGTTTAGAAATAAATGTAATATTTCCTTCACAGCCCTGGAAGCGGATATTCGTGTGATGCAAACACGTATAGAATTACGAGCATTACAGGGTCTAACTCTTTTTTTTATCTTCACCCGAGGACATTTTTGCATTTATCCTCAGATAGAGCGGGAGGGAGAGAGGGGGGAAGAGAGAGAGAGAGAAACATCAGCATGAGAGAGACACATCGCGTGGTCGCCCCCCACACGACCCCAACCAGGGCCGGGAACAAACTACAACCTTGCCCCTGAGGTCAGAGACCCTGCAGCTGAGGTCAGAGGCCTGGGTCTGAGGTCAGAGGTCCTGGGTCTGAGGTTAGGTCCAGGCCCTCAGCCTATTGCCCAGATTCCTCCTGCCCCCTGCCCCCCACCCCTCACCCCTGCCCCCCGCAAGTGTTCATCCGTGTTCTCACCTTCGTGAAAAATGGCGGAAGTGGAGGGTCCATCTGGCGTCAGGGACCGTGATGCATGAACGACACAGAGCGTCCTCCCTCCCCCCCTGTCCTGAGGACCCCGTGTTCCTTTTACCCAGCATGACCCCTGACCCCTGGTACATAGTGGGCGCCTCGAGAGTGGGTATTTTCCCTCAGATGCCAAGTGCACCTCTAGGCTGTGCACCCCAATTCTGTCGGCACACGACTGGGGTTGTAAGTGGAGAGGAGCAAGGAGGGGCGTCTCTGTGGGAAGGGCTGCCATGTCACACGTGGTGGCATCTGCTGACGGGTTAGGTTACCCCTCGTTACATTTCTTCGGGGGACAGGGCACGTCTGGGAGAAGAGAAGGGTGTGTCCTCCGACCCCAGACACAGGCACTGGCGGGGCGTGCTCCCCTGCAGCGTCCACAGCGGGACCCCGAGCACGGGTGTCAGGAGGCATCGTGCCACCTGAGCTGGTGGGGGCTCTCAGCGTGGGGTCGCTCAGACCTGACTCAGTCAGAGCGGCAAGTGGGCTCTAACGAGTCCGAGTTCGTGTCCGTGAGCGGGCGGCCCTCCCACCAGCGTCCTCGGGGCGGAGTCGGCTGCCTGCGTCTGCGCCGTGCGGGCGGGCCGGCCACCCCTGTGCAGAGGTGAGATGAGCCAGGACCCCCTGCGGCACCCCACTGGGCTCACCGAGCAGAGCCTGCGTGAAGGGTGCCCACGGTGCAGAGCTGGGGGCACTGGAACTGGGTTTGCCGTGGTGGCTGCCGGCTCACCACACTTTACACCGGCGAGTGCTGAGTGGGGCAAAGGGGGGCAGGGAGGCGACCGCTCCCGCGCTGACACCAGAGACGGCCCGGAGCACGTGTCTGAGCTGCGTCCACACCCGGTGAGTCCAGCGAGCCTCCGGAGCCAGGCAGCAGGGAGGCCAGCTGCCCCGGGCGTGGTGGGCTGCAGGCCGCGGCGTCTGCAGGGAGGAGCTGGCGTGTCCTCTGGCTGCGAGGCCCGGACGTCCTGGCAGAGCATCGGGTGAAGCTGGATTGGGACCCGACACCCACAGGGGGCAGGGCCCAGGCAGGGGTCTGTAGGTTGGGACTGGGGCCACTCCAGGTCCTGGGACTGGAGGCCGAGGGTCTTTAGCAGGTGACTCAGTCCTGGGCAGGATCCTGTCACCAGATGGCAGCTCCGACTGAGGGCCGCCAGCCGAGGCAGGACCCCAGGTGGGCGTTGGTGCTTGAGAAACACGCCTCCCCGTACAGACTGACCTCTGCTTCATGAAGGGACAGGCCATGCAGCGGCGAGTTCAGTTTTCACCGTCCGCGCCGTGTACACGGAGGAAGAGCCCTGCGTGCTGTCTGTGTCTTCCCCCCTCGAGTGTCACGGGTGCAGAACGCAGGTCCGCCAGGGCCTCCCTGCCCGGAAACAGCTTGATGTGGTCCCTCCGTCTCCACGGTCTCTTCAAACCCATAGTCCCCTGTCACAGCTCTGCTTCTGCTCACTGGGTCCCGGGTCGAAGGGGTGAAAAACCACTCCGCTGGCAGCTTGCAGATAAACCGTCCCCGTCGCGCCCTGCCCCGTGCCTCACCCTCCGAGTCCCGTGGAGAGTCCGGTGGCAGGGGGCGGCCTTTCCAGGAACGGCCCTTCGCTTGGTTGGAATGATCCGAAGGGTAGGACCGGGGCAGTGGCGGCAAAGGACAGGAGTGGGAGCTGCAGCCCAGTGTCCGAGGAGCAGTCAGCCTGGTGACGGGAGGGGACGAGCTGCGGGAGGCGTCGGAGGCCAGGGGAGCCCCGTGCACTGGAGTCGGGAGCCCCCCTCTTAGGAAAGGTGAGCCCCGCAGCCTGCCCGGAGCCGCCGAGGCTCCGCCCCCTATCAGCAAACAGCCCATAATTGTAGCAGGTGTATTTTAGTCGCCCCAAGAGCAACGTGAGGTCAGACAACTCCTGGCGGGGGCCTGGCTCTGACAGCTTCCCCTCCCTCCCCCTGTCCACCGTCTTCCCAAGTCAGGCTCCGGGGTCCCGGGCTAGCTCGGGTGGCACTTGGCAGGACTGTGGAGAAGGGGTTTGTCTGCAAGGTGAGTGGTCGGACAAGAACTCTGCAGGACGTGCTATTTGTTTACATTTAAACAAACAAAAGCCTTACTTGAGAAACCTCAGTATGTGGGTCACGAAAAGACAGCTCTCTGCTTGGAGCTGGGAGGGGAGAGGAACCTGGGCCCGGCCTGTGCTTAGACCCCGGGGGCCGCCAGCCCCAGGCCCGTGTCCACACGGAAAACCACTTGGCTGGAGACTTTTTAGATTCCCAGAACACAGGGATGTCGTCACAGACGATCGGGGGAAGGAAGACGTGTTCGTATGGTGAGGACGGTGGACGTGCCACCTGACCGTGGGCTTGTGTTCCAGGTGTCTCCGTGCGAGAGGTGCCGCTGCGAGGCCACCGGGGAGGTCCTGTGCTCAGTGTCCGCCTGTCCCCAGACGGAGTGTGTGGACCCCGTGTACGAGCCCGACCAGTGCTGCCCGATCTGCAAAAACGGTACGTGGGACCCTCGTCGACGGCGGCCGCCCCTCCGTGCGCCCCGCTGTCCCCAGACGAGTTCTGCGCTGACCTCACGGCACATGACAGGTGTGTGGCTGTGCGAGCTGGGGTGTGCGCGTCCACACACCCAGGTGCGCGTCCCTGTGACCTGCGGCCCCGAGGCCGCCGGGAGCTGCTCTGTGGTCAGGCTGTTCTCTTGTCCACCGTGTTTGACGGACCCGAAGTTCTGTGGGGAGAAAGTCCATTTTCACTGTGGAGGACAGTCATTTCTTTTCATTTAACTTTGTTTGTTCTTGCAAAGCAGTTCTTCCCTTTGCAAGACACATCAAACATGCTGGGCTCATTTACTTTTCATTACAAAGCAAATTAAAACTTGAGACGTAATTGAATATTTTTCATAAGCCAGTTGGGCAGGCGGAGAACCTCCTCGTTCTGCAGGGAGCCCGCGGCAGACCCAGGCCCTGTCCGCCCCTCACCAGGACGCGGGGCGCCCTTGGCCGTGACGGATGAAGGCGGCGCGTCCCCGTCCGGATCACGAGACTCGCCTCTGCTCTGAGTGCCCGCCCCGGCCTGAGGGTGTGCGGACCCGGCGTCTCCCGGGAAGAGCGGCTTAGGAATGACGCCCCGGAGGGCAGGTGGGCAGAGCAGCCGAGGGCACCAGCGAAGCGTGCGGCCCTGTCTTCCAGCACATGAAGCTTCCCGTAGCCAGAGGAAGGGGCCATCTCTGCACGGCCCCAGCCTGCCGCGGAGACTCACGGCGGAGCCACGGGTTGGCTCAGGAACATGACAGCAGCCCCCAGCCCGAGCGTGTCAGAGAGCGCGGGCTAACCGTGGGGCGTCAGTCCTCAGACGCAGGTGGCCGGGCCACGCTGGCAGCCCCACGACGTGGCTTGTAAGTGGTGGGTGGCTGCGTCAGGCCGTGAGGAGTGTCCAAGGCAGTTCTGAGACCCGGCAGCCGAGCCCATCGACGTTGTCCGGGGTGTGAGGCAGCAGAGACCCCTTCCGCCAGGTCCACCAGGGCACCCACATTTCACCACGAGTTTAAAAACCTTGAAATGAACCAATAGAAGAGAAAGCGAAGCTTCTGTGGAGGCAGGATGGGCGAGCCCCTGTGTCAGAGGTCAGAGAGCAGGGACGTAGCTGGAGCCGTGGTGTGCAGTCCACGGAATATCCGTGGACCGTGTCAGGTGACCTGGGCCACTGCCTGCGGGGCTGGCAGTGCTGTCGTGTGGACGAAGGATGAAGAAGGGCCGCGAGGGGCGATCCCCTGGGGATGAACAAGCCTTTCATCATGAACTCGGCTCTTTAAACACAGTCACGCACGGGCCGGTGTGGCTCAGGGGCTAGAGCACTGGCCCACGGCGGGAGGGTCTCGAGTTCAGTTCTGGTCAAGGGCATGTACCTGCGTTGCAGATTCAATCCCTGGTCCCAGTCAGGGTTGTGTGGGAGGCAACCAGTCGATGTTTCTCTCTCTCTCTCCCTCTCTTCCACTCTATTTAAAAAAATCAATGAAAAAATGTCCTCAGGTGAGGGTTAACCAAAATAATAATAATAATAATAATAATAAATAAAGTCACAGCAGTGGCTGTGGGGTGGAGGGAAATCTGTTTCCTTTGCTCGTGTTGTCAGGACTGAGGAGGAAAACGCCTTGGGGGAGGGAAGGAGAAGCCGAGGGGAGCCCAGCGGTGGCCCCCTGCGATGGAGGGGTCTGCAGAGGGGCCCGGCGGTGCCTGTGGGCTGTCGGGACGGCAATGGACAAACAGCCTCTCTTCAGATCAAAGGGTGTTTAGTGTGCGGTTGCTCACACACTTGGCACCCTCCAGATCCGAGACGCTGCGTGTTCTCTTGTCCGTCGCCGTAGGAAACAAAGCTTTGGCTCTTGATCGACAGTCCTTGTCTGGGTGTTCACAGAGATGGGAAGACGTGCTTCTAATCCCTGAGGATTGACTCAACCCCCAAACTTGACAAAAGTTCTAAGTCTGCAGACAGGTTGAAATAAGTGTGCAATGAGCAGTGGTACACCCGTCGGTCCAGTTCCCCGTTGCTAACATTTTGCCAAGTCTGCGCATCTCCTTTGACCACTTGCTCCCTCTGTCCCATCTGCGCGCATCACCCACACCGTCTATGTACTCATTGGCTTTCCCACTGGACACGGGACCCTTCCCTTCACTTCACCAGCGTGGAACCCGCTGAGGACACTTCGAGGCTTCTTTGCCTTCTTTTTGCTCACTGGATAGAAGCCCTCAGCCTAGAGTCCGAGAGCTATGTTTAGAAATTACTGGAATTAATCCTTTATCGTCCGTGGGTGTGTTAACACTTGTAAGGATTTAAACTCGTGCGTTCCCGTTTGTACTCGGCGTTTGTCCTCAAGATGTCATTTTACTTGGTGAGTAAGCGAAAAACGTCCCAAAGTAAAGTGTGTATCTGGACGGTCTGCTCTGAGGTTGACGGGCTGTTCCCACCGTGCACAGATGGTTTGGGGGAGAGGAGGTGGTGGGTCCCCCACTGGCTCTGCGCTCTGAGGAACCGTGGAAGCGGGATTTAGGGGGCAACACATTAGAGACTCTTAGGAGCAGGATGAATGGTTTTTTTAAAACTAGATTCAAGAAGGATTACAGATTACAGAAGGATTTGTATTATAAGGTTTGATCCCGTGATATCAAAACATCTGCCACTTCAAGTTTTCAGGACCACAGCTAGAAATAAACGTCAGCGTGTCCAGTCACGTACGCGCCGGGAAGTCTTGTGATAAACGCTCGACCGGCTGGACCTGGGCTTTCCGCTGTGTCTGGTAGTGTTCTGACCTTGAAAGAGCGAACTGTGCGTGGAATCCTTAGCAAAATGTTGGCTTGAGAGATGAAAACCGTTTCTCTCGGAGCGGGGTGCTCTGCAGTCACTGACGGGGTCGGTGAAGAATTTGCGGCAGCCCGTCCATGCCGCTCACACGCAGTGTTTACAGAGAAAACAATGGCATGTCTGACGGATCACCGATTATAGGGCAGCAAAACGATGCTTCATGTGCAATTAAAGGCTCGGGCAGACGGCTCGGGTGCAGCGCGAGGGTTTCGGCGTTGACCGCAGTGAGCTGGCCTTGGCCCCGCGCACGCCGGTGTCCTGACCTGCAGCATTGAAGGGCACTGTCTCCCGACCGAGGGACAAGCGCTGCTCGGCCACCAGCTGCCCGCGCCACTTACATCGCGGCTGCAGCAGCCGAGACAGAGGCTGCCCGGAGTGGGAATAAAACCACAAGTCCACGGCGCCATGACGTGTTCGCCCTGTGGACGCCACGGACCAAACTCCCGAGGGTTCTCTTCCGGTACGTGGGTGTTTGTGTGGCGCTGTCTTTGTTTCTTCCCAGTGATACCGGCAGTGGGTGTCAGACTGACCTTCAGGACTTCCTGTTTTCTCTGGTGACGGGGGCAGAGGTGGGGTTCACAGCCCTGTCCCACTCGGCGACCCTGTCCCAGCTGCCCTGTGGGTGTCAGAGGTCGGAGGACCTTTGCTCTCAGCTGAGCAGGTCACCACAGAGGAGGGGGCCTTGTCGGGCTTAGCTATGACTCTCGAAGGGGCTCAGCGTGCCCGAGAGGACAGGATGTTCCCGAGGCGCTGGGCCCGGATGGTAATGAGAGCAGACCTCCCTCATCTGTGCCGCTTCATGACAGTTGTCCACAGCGTCATTGCACCAGAGGTAACTGCGGCTGGCTTTTGGAAGAAAGTGAAAACTTATAGAACATTTTTTTTTTTCCTTTATTGATTTTAGAGAGAGAGGAAGGGAGAGGGAGAGAAAGATAGAAACATCGATGAAAGGGAACATGGACTGGCCGCCTCCTGCATGCCCCCCACTGGGGATCGGGCCCACAACCCGGGCCTGTGCCCTGACCGGGAATCGAACAGGCGGCCTTTTGGTGCAGGATCGATGCTCAGCCACTGAGCCACACCAGCTGAACAGAAAACATATAACATTTTAAGATAAGTGCTGAGAATTCCAATGATTAGGAGCGTGTTCACGGGAAAACCATGAGAAGCACTGGCCAAGAATTAGAGTTGTTTCTTCCTATTTACTCTCCTTTGTATTTCAAAGAGCAGGATAAGATCATAATTAAATTCCATGTGGTGAGTTGGGCAGAAGTGAATGGGGTGTGTGTGGGGGGGGGGTGGGGGGTGTTCTCACAAGGAAAGGCCTCCTGTGTGGGCTCACAGCTGACTCTTCCCGCAACCAAGAGCCACTGCTCATGAAACAACACTGCTAAGCCAGTGCCAAGCAGCCCCCGTATGGAAAAAACATACACAGCGCACGGCTGTGGCAAATGAAGAAACAATTCCAACGAGTCGAAAGACGGTGGGTGTAGAACGGAGGGAGAAGAGAAAGGGGACCCCAGCTCTCCGCGGACCTCAGCGTCCTCCTCCTGGGCCCGCTGTGCAGGGAGACAGTCTCGGGCCCAGTGTTAGGTCTGGGCGGCTGCCCACGCCGTGACCCCTGTGACCTCTGTGACCTCAGTGTCCTCCTCCTGGGCCCGCTGTGCAGGGAGACAGTCTTCGGGCCCAGTGTTAGGTCTGGGCGGTTGCCCGCGCCGTGACCCGTGACCTCTGTGACCTCGGCGTCCTCCTCCTGGGCCCGCTGTGCAGGGAGACAGTCTTGGGCCCAGTGTTAGGTCTGGGTGGCTGCCCGCGCTGTGACCCCTGTGACCTCGGCAGCTCTGCGGGCCCGCTCTGGGTGGAAGAGGGAGCTCGGCTGCGTGCATTCCGAGGACAGTCGCCCAGGGCTCTTCCAGGCCGCGCTGCAGTGTGACCCAGGAATGTGGCCGTAGCCCGGCTAGACCCTGCTCTTTTGCTCCTTGGTTGACGACTCGGTTCTCTTTCGACGTTGTTGGAGAGGAGCCTCTGCGTGTGTTGTGTGTACACGCATGTGCACGTACACCTTGCTTTTATAAAACAGAGGCACTTGTTGACCTCACTGCGGATACAAGGATGGATCGAGCTCCCGGTTCCCGCTCCTA